CTGAGCTTATAGGGCCTTTAATAAATGGGCAGTTGATAAGTAAAAACAATACAAAAGAACTGGAAGTTCTCATCTATCAGAGCTCATAGCACAACAGGAAATTGTCAACCATAAACCATTAGGGAAGGTGTTTGGTTTTTGTAAACTTACTGCCACTGCAGACAAACAAATCGCAGGTGGGCTTCTTTACAATTATATGTACAATAATGAGGTTTATATATTACATTTGTGTTTATGTAATCTTTGTAGATCAACACATTTATTTCATGTAGATAGACAAGGAAAACATTTTAAGCAGTGTTACAAATATTTTGGTGGAATAAAGCTTATTCTGTAAATACACTGCAGAAGCTGTTCTGTCTTTTGCTGAGCCCTTGCTTTCTGGCATAACTCAGGGGGACTCCTTACTGTTCAGGTACCTTTCTGTAAAATCAGTGTAAGAGTAATCTTCTTCCCCAAGAGCCAGGGGGAAGTCTAGGTCCTCTGTGTAATGCTGATGAATGTTCCACTGCCAATTTAAAAATAGTTGTTTATATTAAGGAATTTCTACTGACTTATTTATAGCATTCCTTTAGAAGAAAGCATATGACGTAAAAATCAAGTACAGTATTTTGAATATTTCTCAACATCAGCTCATCAATCCTGAAAGCCAGAGGTAAATACTAGATGAACAAAGCCAGGATTCTCATAGGTTGTTTTAAACTAAATAATCCACTATCTACTTTCCCAGTCAACCAGCTACATAAATAAATAAGAGACTGTATCCAGCTCTAGTCCAAATAATCAGCAGGCTGCAGTATACAGGGTGCAGTCCCTGATACCACAGTGGGCTCTTTGTGAATGTGCTGCTAATGCCTGCCAGATGCAGCTTCCTAAAGCCTGAAGTGTGGTCTGCTTCCTCACCTGGTTATCTGCCGCTGGGGAAGAGAGAGGGGCTGCTTTCTAGGGAAGAGAGAGGGGCTGCTTTCTAGGGAGGAGCACAACTGAATCAGTGCAGGGTTTTTCTTCCATGAAGGCTCACATCACGCTTTTTCTTTATTATTGTAGTTTAACTACAAGGTTTAACATTTTGAAAGCAGAGATGGACTTTATCTAAGCCTGCATGTAGCAATTAAAGCACCCAAAAAAAGTTGGAATATGTGCCCTTTCAAGTTCCCATTTTTACTCGTCTATAAATCCCTCATTTGGAGTGGGCTAGGAAGGGATATTTTGAATATTGTGTCTCATTTTTTTCTCATTGTAGTATTACTTATAAAAGTAAGTCCTAGGGTGCTTATGGGAAGTGAGCAAATTTCTGAGTATCTGGAATTCAATGTATGCTATTATGTGATACCATATGTACTTCTCCGAAAGCCTTAGCACCTTCCCTTGCTAAGTTTAGAATTAGTTAGTACTCCTCTGAGATACTACTTTTCTGGCTTTTTTTTTTTAAAAAAAAAGCTACACAGAAACTTGCAAGTCTTTTTATTATTTATGGTTTGCATAGCAGAAAAAAATCCCTTAGAGGTGATCACTGTGTGTACCTGTTAGTTAGTCCCATACTACTTGTGAAGTCACTAACGATCTTAACCATCCTTGGTGGGTGGCAGAGGTCCCAAAGATACTGCGTTCCCACGGTCTTCATGCAGCTGGGAGAGGGACAGACATAGAGGAGAATTTGTGATTTTAATCTTCCTCAGTGTTGAGGAGGAACCGTTGACTGCTCAGCACAGCCCTAGCTTTTGGTCACACACAGCGTTGCCCACCAGCCAAATCAAGCAGGCAGGGTGTCTGAGGAGGTGATAGGGGAAGTAAAGAGACAGGGAGCACAACGTCACATCTAATGAAACTCCCTTAATACTGCTGCTCATGGCACAACTTGTTCCCTGTTTCTGAAATTAATCAGTGAAAAATACTTGGACTGTTTATAGTCTGTCATGTAGAAAATTGTGGAAAAGCACTTGGTTTTCTTCTGTGTTGACACATCTGTTAAAATGTTAATAGCATAAGAAAGAGGGTCATGACACATCATTATTTTATTTTAAACATAAAATGAAATCAAAAGCCTTTTTGTTTAGGGGATCTGTTTGAATTTACATGGTGCTAATTTTGTTTGATTTTCAAAGATCCTAGTCCCTACCAAGCTCCCTGCTTGTTGGTTTCCATTTTTTAATTTTATTAAGAGCTGATGACACAATCTCTTCTGTCTTTTTAAAATGTATTAGTCAAAGTTGGAAAACTTGGGAAGCTGCCAAAATGCAAAAAGATTTTTCTTTCCTGTTTTTGCTTTTTAAGATTAAGAGATATTTAATTACATAAACAAGGATATGAGTCCTGTCATGTATAGCGTATGTATTTAATAAACAGTATTATCTATTGGTTGAGAAAAGGTAGGTACGCAGTTTAGTTCAGCACTAATTAAAAGAAAACGAAATAAAATGCAAAGCTTTTTTAAAAGAGAGCATGATTAGAAAACAGGTTTTCAGTAGTGGATATGTTTTTTCTTAGGGAAGATTGCCATTGCTATTTTCTAGCATATTAATCTCGAAAAATTAAACATTAATGTTTGAAGTACATGCTGTTTAAATCAGCAGTATTTTTATTTTTAAAAGTACAGAACTAATGATACAGATCGAACTTGAAATAAGCGCCAAATCCTTTCAGATATTTGTCTTTTACTATGAATACAGGTTTTTTCATGTAATGAATGTCTGCTTGTGACTGGTACATCTCATGATATTTACGTGCTGGGAGAAGAGTATGTATATGCTGAATAGCACCTAGCTATTTCATAGACTATTAGAAATACAATTTTAGAAGTCATTGAGAATATTTCATCCTTCTTTATTCACTAACATATAATTCCCAAGAATGTTAAAATGGTTTTGATATATACATTGGTAGGAGGGTATAATTCCAATTTCTTTCGATTTTGGGTGTTTGTTTTCTGTGTTTTCCTTTTTTCTTCTTTTTTTTAATGGCAAAACCAGAGAACTGTAGCGTTTGTGAGTTAGTAGATATATTACAAGCATCCTTCACTTAGGAATTTGTTTCAGTACTGGCTTTAGCTATGTGTTGCTAGATGTTTTGCCTGGTTATGTGCTAGCTTCTTGCACCAGCAGACTGACCCTTGCTGTAGTGGAGGGGTACGTCTTTTTCTATTATTTTTTTGGCAGTGATTGGAGGAGGGCAGTGCAACTAAACAGTTTTCACAGACCTCCTATATCTCTGAGCATTTCTTGGACAGAGATTGTTTGTTTTGTGAAACTGCACGAAATTTTATGCAGCTTTTGAGGTACACATGTCATTGAAATAGTGTTCTTAAACTCATCACCATTTTCATTAAAAAAATATATGGCTACTGCAATACTTTGCTCATGGAAAAGGCTGATTTGTTGTATGCTTGTTAATGAACTTTTAGTTTTTCTTGCTTTCAGAAAAATACTATTGGAGAGGCTGACTTATGTAATGGGACTATTATTTAGTTGTTTGTTAGAATGGTAGAAAAAATCAGCTGTGTCAATGTAATTAATTTTATTTCTGCAATGTTTCCTTCTTATAGCCATCTGTTGGTGAAAGTCTTCAGAAAGAAGCATTGAAAAAACAAGCAATGAAACAGGTAAGGTGCTGTGGGAACTCTTCATGCCCATGGCAAATTAGGAAATTACTGCATCCATTCTCTTTTATTAAATAATCACAAAAAAGACTTAATGCTTAATTTTTTGGTATCTTTTCTTCTCCTCCCCCCTTTTTTTTCTTTTAGACTAAACTGGAGATTCAGAAGGCTTTGGAGGAAGATGCTACAGTGTACGAATATGACAGTATTTATGATGAAATGCAGCAGAAGAAGAAAGAAAGTAATGCCAGAGTGTTATCTGGAAAAGATGACAAAAAGGTCGATACCTGAAAATGTATGCTCTCTGTCTTATCTCTGTATGCTTGGAATAGCCATGATTGATTAACTTTAAGCTTTTCCAAATTAATTTTCTCATGAGGCATGCAAGTATTGTGCACAAACCCTGTCACATACAGTAGTAATTTGCAAGGATTTTGGCAAAACTGTTAGTGCATCAGATACTTCAGAGTCCTTATCCAGTGGTATTCTGGAGGGTGGCAGACTACAAGTTTCCCACCCAATTTATGATGTACATACAGCATATCTGTCTGTGTATTGCTGAAGAGAGTGTTACAGTGGAATAATAGGATTAGAGGCAGTGGGCTCTACAACAATACTACTTCTGGTAATAAAGACTCTCTGGTTATTACACCAATGAACGTAAATCGTCATTCCTCACTCACTAGTGTGCTTCCCGGAGAACTGTCAGAAGACTGAAGTAATTAACTTTATTGGTGAAGAAATGTGAGCCGATTTCCACAGCCCAATGCCTTGTTTCAAAGCATTGCTGAATTATCCTGACAAGTGATATTTTCATTGTTACTTACTTACATTTTAAACCTCTTGTCAAGTTATGTGGGTATAAAAAGAAGCTTCCCACTCCTTTACAGTAACAGAAAGGCAAGACTATTACAAGATAGAAGACAGAGGGGTGAGAAATCAAAACCCATTTAATTTCATTCAGAGCACAAATCATCCTAGTCAAAGATGGGCTGAATGTTTTGACTGAATACAGCAACCTCTCTTAGTATTGGGAAGCATGCCATATTAGTGATCTAAAAGAGAATGACAATTTATTTCAGATAGTTATCAAACAATGTGAGAACATGTTAGACTAGCTTCTGTCGGTTTTCTTCCATGACTGACTTTCTTCAACATCTCAATCAATCCCAATTGGTGTTCTCTCAGCCACCTCAATTACCTCTCAGCATCATACCTTTTTTCCCTCCTATTTTAGCCCAGATACATCCAAAATATCCTCAAAGCAGCTGAGATTAGAAAGAAGGAGCAAGAAAAAAGAATGGAAAGAAAAATTCAGAAAGAGCGTGAAATGGAAGGAGGAGAGTTTGCTGACAAAGAGGCTTTTGTGACTTCAGCCTATAAGAAGAAGCTGCAAGAAAGGGCTGAGGAGGAGGAAAGAGAAAGAAGAGAGGCAGCTCTCGAGGGTAAGATTCACACTGAGATAATTCCCCTTAAAAAGAAGTACTGCCTTGTACATGAGTTACAGCATTGTCATCTGGTATCTCTGTGAGGCTCAAGATGATTAAAATCAAAAAGGACCAGATAGCAGATACTGATTCAGATCCCACTTTGTCTGTTATTTGCCGTTGTACATGTTACTAAATGAACAGAAGCAGCTCCTCTGTCTGTGTGTCAGTACTATTTGGGTTGCTATTCTTAATTTTTAAGACTCGTAAGCCTGGGGTGCAATGATGCTTACATTCCTTACTTCAGACATTCTGTACAGCGTCCCAGGCATAGGTGTAAAGAATAGGATATAGGATCATAAGACAAATGGGGTTGGAGTGGACTTCTGAAGGTGATCTGTTCCAGCCTTTTGCTCAAAGCGTGGTCTGCTATGAGGTCAAGTCAGGTTGTTCTGAGCATTTTCCACTCTGGGCTTGAAAACTTCCAGGATGGAGATTACAGTCCTGATGGTGTCTTTAGCAATTGTGAATTGAGTCTGATGAGTATTTGTGGCACAGTAAATCCAACCTTACTTTCTCTCTCTTAGCGTACCTGGATGTGACCAAGCAGAAGGATCTCAGTGGATTTTACAGACATCTTTTAAACCAGAGGGTAGGGGAAGAAGAAATGCCTAAATGCAGCTTCCGTGAAGCCAGGTAGGGTGCAATTCCAGAAGGCTTTCAGACATAAACCAGCTTCTGGCTGTTTGTGGTTCCAGACTCACTAGAACACTGTTAAGAGCTAGGCAGAGAATACTAAAATACTGGTAGGGTAAGCTGATTACTTTATACATCTGATTAACTGAATTATTTGGAAAATGTCTAATGATTTTCTGTAAGACAGAAACAAACAGGACAGGGATGCCATTTAGAAAGTACCAAGAGGACAGTCACACTTGTAATACGGCTTGGTGTTACTCTAACCTAATATATGGCAATCTGTATTAAGTTACGTGTGTTGGATCATGAGGGAGACAAAGGGTAAAACGATGGGCACAGAGGTAAGTCATAGGAAGTGATGATGTGATACAAATTTCCTGAAAACAGTGTGGGTCTCTAACTTTGTATTTATTCCACATTTATAGGTTCATAAAAAATAAAATTGAATGTTGATGTTGTGGTAAAAGGAAATTACTCAAATATATAGGAAATCCAGTGGGAATATTTTAAAATCTTAATATATGCACATTCCAAAGCAAAGTAATGAGATGAAGCTGAATTATTTATGTAGTTGAGATGGTGAAATTCTGCCCTGTGGATAAATATGGTGAAGGGGCTGTTTCTTACATGCAACAACTGATCATTTGAAACAATTAATTCAGGTTAAACCTCACTTGAAATAGGCCTTAAACCTGGATATCACTAGTTAAATGCTTGCCATCACAAAGAAAATGCAGCTTTCATCAAGAGATCTTCTACATCTGAGATTGGATTACTGGAAAGTAAATTCTTAGCTTAAATGACGAATGTGATCACAGTGAAGTTACTCAGCTATCTGGAATAAGGGAATTCTTGATTATGTCTTTAGCATACAGATGTGCCACCTTATTGGAAATAAATAGGGAAAAGTACTGTAAAAGAAATAGGAAGTAAGAATTAGTTACTGGCTGGAAGAAAAGCAGAACAGCTTCCTCAATTTAAGCAGAAAAAGGGAAATTTGACGCCACAGTTTTGTTGTTTGAGACTTAAAGTATTGGTATACGTATGTGTTTGGGAAACATCCTGTCTCAGGCTTTCACCAAACACCTGCCTGGTTTCAGTGGTGCACAAAGGTTGCTACTGAGGTGGTTAAATGAATTATGCATTTTATGGTTTCTTCTTTTTATTGATGAAATCTAAATTATTCACTTGCATCTCTTTGTGAAAACAGTAGCAGCAGTGGTCAGCCCACTTCACTGTCCATTCGCTTTAATAGTTCTTCTTTCAGAGTGTCTTCAGGAAGATGTAGTTTTGTACTGTGTAGAGATCATTTGAATGATGGTTCCTTAATCTTGCAAATTAAGGAAATGTTCCTTTTGTGAGTTTTTATATAACATTAATTCAAGAGAAAACGAGTAGTCCTGTAAATGGTACTGCCAGCAAGGCTTTCAAATAAGCTCAGGTGTATATTTTAATTCTATCTTTTCTTATGGTGGTACAATAGGATACAGAGAGAAAACAGCTTGAGATTTAGATCTCAGAAGTTGCATCACTCGTCCCTAGTGTGATCCACTTTGACTTGTCATTTTAATTAATTGGATTACTAAATAAATTATCAAACTTTTTAGCATAATTTTTAGTCATTGTGTATAGACTAATCATGCTTTCAAACATGCATCAAATGTTCAATCTAGCTAGATGGTGTGCTGATTCATAAGAATTTACCACAATTACTGTAGCTGTATGATTAGAAAGAAGAGACGTGTGGCTTGTGTGAGTAAACATGTATTTCCTTATCAATCAGAAAAGAATGACAAAGCATAACCTTTCTGTCTACTGCCCTAATGGGTCCTCCATGGGTCGGCTTTTTGTATTTAAGCATCTATGAGCTGTTAAAAGATACTCATTTCTATCTAGCCACAAGAGCGAGATCTTCAGAAATACTGGATTAAAAAAATCTACTGCTACTACTAACGGAGGTTATTTTCCTACCTCTGTCAACAAAACGTACAACCTGCTGCTTCTCTGGATAATTATCTGATGTGAATAGAGGAATAAACACATAGGAAAAAATGTGAAGCTTGCCAAAAAGCTTATACAAGAATCCAAATCTATGTCTTTTTCCTCAGATGGAGGCTACAGATACTTAATCATAGTCATTCTGTTAGATAAATTCATCAGCTCACAGTCACCAATGAACCAGATACAGATACTTAATAGAAATCCTTTCTGCTGGATTCCTGGACCCTGAGCCACAGATAGATTTGCTTTCTTAGACTTTTCAGTAGCATTTTTTGCTTAAGTCCTGACCAGAAGTCAGTTTGTAGAAAAGTCTGAGATTTCAGGCTGTGTAATGTTGTTCTTTTCTTTTTTAACATAAAAAAATGTAGGATAAAGGAAGAAAAATCTGACAGTTACGATGAATCCAACCAAATGAACAAATGCCCATATGAAAGGCAAAGACCGAAGCCCTCTACCAAGAAAGAGAATAACCCAGACGCTGATACTGACTTAGGAACTGATAGTAGTGATGATGATAAGAGACACAAAAATAGTAAAGTAAATTTGAAAAAGAAGAAAAAGAGAGAGAGCTCTGTGAGCAGTGAAGAGGAGGCTAAACATCAGAGGAGCCAGAGGCATTCCAGGTCACCAAGCTCATCCAGTGTGGAGGAAGAGCTACGCACAAAAGCCCAAACAAATCATCTTACAAAGAAGGGAGAGAGCAGACCAAGCAGAAGGGGAAATGATGAACAGTACAGGGAAAAGGATTACGAGAGAAGTAGGACCCACGAAAAGGATCACCAGAGGGAAAAGGAAGAGCGACATAGATACGGGGATCACACTAATAAAGATAACTACAGAAGGAGGGAAGAGCAAGATGATAAACAAAGGGGGAAGGAAAGAAAAGAGAGGGAGGGACATGGCAGAGAATCAAGGAAGGCGAGGGAGAGAGAAGAGAAGGTCTTGGAAAAAGAACGAGAGAAAGAAAGAATAAGAAATGGTAAAGATAGATATAATGACAGAGAGAAGGAGAGAGGAGAGAAATGCAGAGAAAAGGAAGATCATGTGAAGGAGAGGAGAGAGAAATATGGTCGTGATGAAAAGAAATACAGAGAGAGGAGGGAAGGTACTCCTACATCTGTAGAAAAAGATGGAGAGGCTGATCTGGAAAATGAGAGAAAGGGAAAAGAGAGAGAGGTGGATGAGAAGGGAAGATCCAGCTCTGGAATTTTGTCTGAGCAGAAACGTAAAGCTGGAGAAGAAGGGGAGAAAGAGGGGAAAGAACAAGCACAGAAACCGCCTGAGAGCCTGAGCAAATTTGCCAAACGGAGCAATGAAGAGACAGTCATGTCAGCAAGGGACCGCTATTTGGCAAGGCAAATGGCACGTGTCAGTACTAAATCCTACATTGAGAAGGAAGAAGATTAATGTCATGTGGTGGACAAAAACACTTGGTCTGTCAACCAGGAAAAAAAGCCACTGCTGCACAGACTCTTGTACAGAAGTAAAAGTGTATCCTAGGTATTTATTCCTGGCTTTCATTTAAGAAATTGTGTCCCATAACAGAAGAACTTTTGAAATGGATTCATGGATCACTTGATGCGCACCCTTAGTCTGTTTATACAGTTGAAATATTAAATTTGGCTGACTCTGTCCACCCTGGCCTTCAGTACCCTATCCTTGGTACTTGAAGAGTCTGGGAAAGACCTAGGCGTGTTAAACAATGTAAAGTGAGAATACTTCCCCCTGGCAGCCCCTACACCTTTCACCAGCTGAAACAATGAGCTCTGCTCAAAGAAAGGTGTTCTCAGGCCTTAGCAGGAGTCATTGTTGCCCACTGATGCTCTCAAAATTGAGAAGCAAACCTGTAAAATTGTGAAAAATGCAAGAAAATCATCCTGAATAATAATCTAGGAGGTTTCTGTATGTAGTATTGTGTTTTGTAAGCTAAATGCATATTGACATATGAATTTTGTATTTATGTGTAGCCTTTTGTTTTGGGACCTGATGTACAGAAACACTTAAATAAAGTGTAAGATAAATACTGGATCTAATGCGTAAGTTTTTTAATGCTTGTGTTATTTTACTTCCTCTTTTTTGTGTGAAATGAGGTATACAAGTCTTTTTTCATGCATTACAGTCATATCTGCTTGTTCTGCTGGAGGTAGTATTTTAGATTTGTCAGTCTGTCTGTTCAAAGGTTCATAATCAAGAATAAATTTATCTCCAAACTATAACGTGGTAAGCGGGATATCTGACAGTGGTAGTTTTTAAAATAAATTTTCAACACCCTTCACAGTGGTTTCTTTCACTTTGTTCTGTAGTCAATTTATCACTTTTATGCTACAGTAAGGCGAACCAATATAAAGAAAAAAGATTTTGAGATTTGCATTTCTCTAATATTTTGTTCAGCAGACTTAGTAATGAGGCAAAATGTGAGTAAAATTAAATGCCAAGCTGGCCAGTTTACAAAGACTTGAGATGGAATGAGTTTTATGTGTAAGTTAATTGAGTAGCTAGGCATGTTCTCCAAGTTGGATCGGTTTGGTTTGCTGTTCTGTCGAAGCAAGTGTAATGTGCAGTGGTTCTTCTTTTAGAATAGAATGAAGAATATTTAGCAGGGGCCAAGGTTCAAACACTGAAGGAAATCCTCTGGGTTTTTGTCAAAGAGGCCTTGTTGGTGTAGTAAACTGGACTAGATACTCTGCTTTTTCTTGGAACTGAGTTTTATCTTTGCTCTTCCCATAAGAGAGAAGCACAAGAGAAGTCTACAGATGGTTTATGAATATTAAATTTATTACAATGACAGTTTACAGTACAAGGCACATACTGATGACTTACAGTCAGCTTGCAACACTTGTAACTAAACAGCCGCATAAATTAATACAGGTGCATCATGTACAAGTTGGCGGGAATACTTAGTTCTGTACAGCTAAAACTCCAGTTTAATTCTCTTTGCTTAAAAGGCAAACATGCTCCTAATTTACCAGTTTCGTAAATTCCTTTTCACTGTTCAGAATAGAGGGTAGGATATACTCATGTGATAAGTAAGCGGAAGATGAGCTGAAGAGAAGGAATTTGTTTGTTTGCCTCAAAACACTTTTAATTGCAGTGCAGCCCATTTGGTATCAATATAACTAGTTTTTGTACAAAAACAACGTTTAATATATGGCTACTTGTTGAGCTACCTGATACATACTGGTTACTCTAAATGTTTTCAGGTGGATATGTAAAAGGAAGAAAGAAGAATCAACAATAAAAATAAATGGAAACAATTTCTCACTATTTCAGCCACTAAGCTAAATAGAGATACTAAAAAATGAACTTACCATAAGATTTAGAAAACTTCAAACCAGTATGCCATATGAAAAAAAAAAAAAAGAATTCAGGACTAAACTGCCTTGCAAGTTCAGCTTTTATAGAATGAAAAGATGGATGTGTTTTATCTTTGTATTGTTCAGGAAAAGAAAAGCCTTTTTAATCGAATTCTGGAGGGCTTCCTTGCCCCCTCTTCCCATAAAGACCTCAGACTGGATTATCCTGGTGAAAAACGGCAAAGACCTAACATTACTAGTGATCTTCTGGACTGCTCATTTCTAAAAATATGTATATATATATTGCTTTTCATATCTTCAAATAATTAAAAAAACCTTTCACCTCTCTCAGTACATCTGTACTCACAGTGTATCATTCTCATTTTTCCACTGAGAAATTCAGGCTGAGACACCTTGCCGTATTTTACACCATGACTCTGGCCAGGTTTGTGTTAATATCAGGGCTTCTTGACTGACTTTTAATCTGCTAGAAAACAGTGGCATTTCTTGGGAAGTTGCTCAGCATTCTGTGCTAAAACCAGCCAGAGAGACAATGTCTTATCATATGTTGGTATCTTAAAGAATACAAATAAAAGATTAATCTTTTGCCATTTCAAATGCTGTTATAAAAATAGTATCAGTAGTATTGCATGCTAAATAGCAGTGATTTCTGTAATTCTTACTCTGCAAATTATTCCATTAGAAATAATGTTTCCAGTTTCAGTTTGTTTGCAAGGGCTGAAAGAGAAACTTTGGCTTTGATACAGATGATGCTTATATTTAACTCAACCATTTCTCTCCCCACCTTTGCCCTTCCTAATAAAAGGGAGCAGAATGTTTAAAGAGGCTTTCACAGGTGGGTATAATAGGTAAATGACTAAAAATTGGAACTGTAAGTTTGGGGTTGGTTGGGGAGGGAGGTTGGTTTTGGTTTGGTTTTTTTAATGCATCTAATATGAAACAGTATCAAGTCTGGCAAAAAAAATTCCATTTGTAAGCTTTATCTATATAAATACTTACGCATTTAAGAGGAAATGTATCTAGCGTTAGTTGAACACCAGTCTGAAGAATGGAGAAGCTGGGTAGGGTTTTCTCCTTTATTTCCTGCACTTTGATATTGGATACATAGGAGTACCTCATTCATCTTACATTGACATTTCATATGTATTTTTTCAATTCATGAACTCAGAACATTTAATTTTTTAAAAAACCCAGTAATTTTCTGATGGGAAACTTAAAAACTAAATGGCTTTCTAACATTAAAGGAATTCCCAAACTGTTCCTCTTTTCCTTACAGTGAAGCCAGTTTTGGAAGTAGTTTTCAAATATACGGGAGGGGTAAGCTACAAAACTATTTCTTATGAGTAACTGTCCAGTAAGACAGATCTGTTATGCTTTTCTGGTGGAAATGCAAGAACATATTCCCTTTTTAAAAACAGTTTAGGAGTCTTCCGTTTGTAGTTCCGAAAGAACAGTCATTGTCCCTTATATTTCCTTATTGGAAGTTGGGCTTGAGACCTAAAGTTAAGTGAACTCAAGTCAGTAGCTGAAGTGTGAGGGGCTTTCCTCCAGGAGGTGTCTGCACACCCAAGGAGGAAAACCTTGGCAGAAGCAATGAAAATGTTCCCAAAAGGCAAACACACCATCAGTGCTTTCCTCTAGCACGGTAAGTTCTTTGTACCGATGTAAACTCTTCAATAGGTTTCTTAACGCCTGCTGCTATGCATGCATATATAACCTTGTTAATTTTAGCAGTATGCTACCTAAGTAGACCATGAGATACAAAAGAGACTTTTATCCTGTATTTTATTTTACGTTCAGTATAGTCTATGTGTAGAATAAAAATACAATGCAAGTTTTTACATAAATGATGCCTACTTAGGTTTATCTAAACTTCCATGGAACTGCAGCAAAACTATTGTCCTGCAACTGACTTGGCAGCTGCAGTCAGTCTGAAGGGCAGGTACATTTGGAGCGCATGTGTGTGCATATAAAGAGGATAGTAATGTGCATGGAAGTTAATTTGTTTATCAGTGCCTCAAAAGAACTCTACTACTTGTTAAAAAAAAAATTTCCCTCCTTTTCTTCTTTGGGGTGAATAAACGAATGCGTTCACATTAGAATATGAGCTAATAAATCTTCAAAGTAGGTTTGTATAATTTGTTAAAGGTACTTTTGCCAGCCAGCCAAAAGAATTACTCTAAACTTTAGTTCTGTACTGGGAAAGAACAGAAAAAGCCACAGCTCCAGCAAATGTTAGACGAGAAATTAAGAAAAAAAAAAGCAGAGAAGCAGATCTTTAAGATTCCGTTTTTTGGCATCAGAACTCAAAAAAAAAATCATTGTTGGTTTGTAGTTTCTTTGAGTACAAGTGGTAGGTCTGTCAGGTCAATGATTTTGTGAGTATCTAGCTTAGTTATGAAAACACTATATAGTAAGTGCTAGCAACTTAGGTACTTGCCAAGTAACCCATGATGAGGTTTTGTGGCTTGATTGGGTCTAAAGGAAGGTGAAGCCTACAACATTACAAAAATGCTTTTGTAGTATTTGTTATGCAAGAAACAATAGAAACCATTGCTATCTACAAAATGCAGGGAATGAAATGGAGGATAAGGCTACCAAACGTGTGCTAATGTATGCAGAGCTGTGTATAGTGCTGCTCAGGATTGTTCCTCTTCTGTCTACTCCGCTACAAACCGAGGGAATTTACTATTTTTTTTCTAGTTTATAAAACCCTGTATTACTTGAGTAATGTATGGCTATCAGAAATATTTTTGTATTTTTCAATGTAGTTTAAGCAATTAGAACCTTAGAAGCGAATACGACATTGCCCAGTACGAACGATCACATTGAGGAAGATACAGGAGTACTGCCACAGACGTGGGACGCTACACCTAACCCTACCTGCCAATACTCGTCCTATAGTGGCTTATGCAATCACGCACGCTTTCCAACAGCCCCTGTGCCCACGCATGGAGTAGTGGTATTCTTGTGCACACAGACATCCTCGTTTTTCCAGAATGAATTAGTTCTCAGTCAGTTCAGTCTGGTCAGAAGTGCACAGTCGATCTCATTGAATTGCTTGGGTATATGTGCTGGAGGCATCGTGTTTCCAAATGCCCATTGTCAGTGACGCAACCTCCACAGAAAACTCCCATTTGTTGTCTCAGCTGGAAATGTAATTCTTTGGGGGGGAGAGTATGGGGAAAGTTACATTTTATGCTCCCCCTCTCTCCCCCCAGAAAACAGGTCAGCTTATACTGCATTCATGCGGATGTCTCCAAAAGGGATTTCTGTAGCTGTTTCTGGAGTAATGCTTTTCAGAATACGCTGTTGGAAAGAAAGTGATATTAGAAATGGATTCATTTTAGAGATAATATATAACATGACAGCCATTTGGAAAGAGATTTCTAATAAAAATATGACTCTGAGTTATACCTCTTGAACTGCATAAGGACGTTTCAGGCTTCAGTTAGCTCTATGAAGATGTAAGGTGCTATAGAAGTACACGGTGTTACTTTTTAGTTAATTATTTGTAACATCTAATTTGAATCAAAGTTTGACAGTTGTCATATTAGTGTTTTAGGACTTTGCAGTTTACTTGGATACCCTGAGCCAACTGAAAATATTCTTTCTGAACTGGTATTTACATGAACTTAAATCACAAAAATGTCCTCACAGGCTGCCACAGATTTATGGCAGAGAAGTCTTACGGAGTGTGGGAGAGAAAAATAAACTTGTTCTTACAGACATGCCCAAGGGAACCAACTTTCCTGCCTCATTCACGTGATACTCTGTCTTATGTGGTTTCTAGGGAAAGCCTCCAGTTCACCACAGCTTAAAAT